AAACGAAGCAAAATACCTTGTAATCAACAGTATTACACTTTGTGTTTTTCTTTGTTGTTGTTTAAAACACTTTATATCAACTCATAAAGAAAATAGTCATTAATAATTGACTATAATAAAGTAAACTGTCTGTGAATTAATTACTTACTATGAGTTGATAATTTATTAGTTTACTTTCTTGTGTTGACAACAAAGTTTCAAATAAATGTGCATCACGTAAAAACATCTTTACAAGAAAGAAGAAAAAAAAAGTGACGAAAGAATAAAATTTCAAGTTAGATCATATGAACATTGAAAATTTTTCATCTAGAACATCATTCACATAATTAAACTTCCTAATGAAATATAATCCATCGTAATCATTTAGTCATTTTAACAACTAGACAGTCACAAACGATTAAATTAGATGACTGTCGTACTAAATCACAAATTGGCTGAAACTGAAAACATATACTCTCCTGTTGGTCTATATTTGACACACTGATATCAAGGCCTGAATGTCTTGAATTTGATGGTTAACAAAGTCATAAGTATGAAATATTCAGTAATCTTAAACGTGAACAAAACAGTTTTCCAATGTTTCCGGGTTCGTAAAGACTCAAATACTAATAAATATCTATGTAAAAATCTCTTCTTCACATTGAACTAATCTTCATAATCTTCTCAGTTAAATGTAGCATTCTTTATTGAAAATTATAAAAGGCATATTTCATTCTACTCTACCTTGAAGATGCTCTTAAAATTTAAAAAAGTCGTAAAATAAACGACCATAAATCAATCAACAAAAAGGGTGTTGAGACTTGCCACATCCATCCATCACCTTTTCATTATGATTTACAGCTCTAATAGCGAAACATCTAATACATAAATTAGTCTTGATTTTACATTTACTAGTTACTGTTATCCTTTTAAATCAATAAACGGAAAAAATGAATAAAAACTAATGTTACGATGGGTAGATTTTCACTAATATTTAGGATTTACGTTAGCAAACTAATTTTCCCAAACATTAAATGTTGGCATGGTTGTAAACAAACAGATGACAATTCATGAACTCATATTTAAGTAATAAATCCTCACAACTGTTATGTTTGTGGTTACGGTAAACTAACATAATGCTATGGTTTGTTGATATAGAAGTTCTATCTTAAATAGCCAACCCTATTCAGACTTCCGGATCAATGCTTACAATTTCTCTTAGTTAAACTAATTTTTTGTGAAACTCCAAAGCATACAAAGTTTGCGATACATCCCAAATAATGATAATAACTGATACTGTGGTGTATGCTGCTTACGTTGACAGACACAATTAGTATACAACACCAACCTGAAGGACAATGCCTGCAAGCAGAAGATTGAGCAGAATGAAGTGAAGAGAAGAGAAAAGGAAAAAGATAGTAATCAAGATAATAACAAGAATGAACAAACAATAATACTTGTAAGAGAAAACTTAAAAAAGACGTGCAAATGATATATTTGATGTATGACTTTCACATCATACTGGACCATTGTGTGGTTGTACATTAAACAATAAATCGACCCTCCCCCATTCAAGTGTTTATTCACTACAATACTTATAAAATCATACTTATGAATAAGGAATAAAACACATTCTCATACTACTGAACACTATACACTAACTGATGATTTACTTCACAATGTTGAAATCCATATCTCATGTAACTCCACTTTCAACAGTTGTTAATTAACATACCATGTGTATGATGATATTGTTTTGTTTTTAAAACTATACATTCAGGATGTATTGAAGAATATATATGAAAATAATATCAACAAATTATTTATAATTCATTATAATGTAAACTCTCTATTCTACTATTCCACAGACACAATTATTGCAGACACAAATTATTCATATAACATTAATCAACATTAGAAGGTTTATTTAGATAAATCTGTTTTAATTCACTTGGTATTGTTTAGCTTGTATCTTCCCATTGAGGTTTAAGACTGCAATTGATCAATCTGTCATTCGCATATGTGCATACTGTGCGTATGCCTCGATATTATCTTAATTCACAAGCTATTTTTAAGCAATGATGGATAGTGGCTACCAGTGGAATCCAGGACGCGCGTTTCATCCTATTCGGGACTCGTCGTCAGCTGGATGTACCTGCATCTCAGAGAGTTGATGTTCACTCTGGGACTCGAAATCAGTACCATTAGCTTCAAACGCCATCGCGTTATCCACTCAGCTACTGGGTCCTGATAGCCACTTGCTTGTGCAATGAGGTGAATTTGAATTCTGTTTTAAGTCTTCACAAACAATGATGACGTGAAATACAAGGTTAGTTATATTAAATAATGTTTAGTTGCAGTAAGAAGTACTTAAATTAATAGGAGATTTTTCAGCATTCTACAGTGTATCCATTCACAACGTTTTCTAATTCGAAAACAATGTAATCTCACTCAACGATATTTGGTATGAAAAATCAAATGATCATATTCCGACAACTTCTGACTGATAATTCCAAATACGTAGTTCAGAATGGTACAGATACAACTTCATTAAAAATTGCACATATGTTTAAATATAACAAATGGTTTATAATAAAGTCCAGTTTTTCTTCAACCCACCTGGAAGTTTAAATTCTGTTGTAAAAGTTTTTGTTCATATGTCCACATTTGCATTAATTCTGACCAACCGTTTTCTAATCTATCTAAACGTTGGTCAAGTTGTATGTAATGTGCATCTGTTTCACCAGCTGTAATGCATCGTCCGTAACTTATTAAATCACTATATTCATCTTTACGAGCTAAAATCTGTTCACCTAATTCTTTATGCATATCAATTTCAGCTTTGGCTTCTTCTACAGATAGTGGCAATTGATGTGTTGCTACACGAATTTCAATATTACGTAACCATAACTGATTTTCATCTAAACCCTAAGCAAAAGAAAGAATTGACAATTTTGTTTGTGTAATTCTGCTTTAATTGTCATGTAAATAAAAGAACATCCGGTATTAATATTAAATAAATCTTAATTTTAACTTCTAGTATAAACATTTTCAGTGGCTACGCAACAACATCAAAAAATGAATCAGTATTTTCTGCCTTTTATATAAAAAGCTAAAATTAATCTTCATCACACTATAGATGATTAAAAATAAGTATCAGAAGGGGTTTTGTGGAGATTTTAGTA